TCTTCCTCAGCCTTCTTTGCCTCTTCAGCCTTTCTGTCTTCCTCAGCTTTTCTGTCTTCCTCAGCCTTTCTCGCTTCCTCAGCTTTTCTCAGCTCATCTGCATCCTCCGCTTTCTTCTGCTCCTCTACTTTCTTCTTTTCATCCTCCGCTTTTCTGTCTTCCTCAGCCTTCTTTGCATCCTTCTGTTCCTTCATGTTTCGAGCTTCTTCTTCCAGTTTTTGGTTGTACTCATCACTCGCTTTCCTCAGATCATCCAAATCTTTTTGTTCAAGCTGTTCGGGGTCAACTTCTTCGTCATCATCATACCATTCCTCCTCTTCCTCTTCCTCAATCTCGATGCACTCCTCTTCACCGTCCATCTGAACATCTTTGGATGCATGATCACCTTCATTCGTCTTCGTATCATTTTCTTTCACCTCCTGATCATCTTTTGACACCTTTCCCTGGATGTCACCAAGATTCACCAAGGGGTTGAAATGAGGTATCAACTGATGGTTCCCACACGTGCCTTCACCAAGCGGGGATTTCTTGTTCTCTTTTCAATGCCGGCATCCTGCAACTAGAAAAGAAAAAGACCCAAACAGTGAGTGACCAGTGGGAATGTCCTCAAAAACAGCACTGATCAAGGTCTTCAGCTGGTGAATCGGGCCATCTTTCCGCCTAACAGAAAGCAAAGATTTCTTAAGAATTTGGGATTCCACTATCACCAACCCAGCACAAGGCCTTCCATTCGGGGCCCTCCGGTAGCAAGTGAGCATTCTTGATGCAAGAAGGCGATGAAGTCCTGCTTCCTTGGTGGCCCAGTCCTGTCGTGACGAGAATATCATCAAATCCAGAACGGTGAAAAACAAACAAACTTTCCTCCACGGCAAGGGTAATAGACCGATCGCTCACCAGATGGTACTCGACTGCGATGTCTTGTAAAGTTTCCTGAACCACGAAGCAGAAACATACTATAAATACTAAAGAGAAAACATACATCATTTCAGATATATATTTCACAGGTCAGACCTTCACCTCTCTCTCGGTCGGCTGGTTGACAGCAAAGTTTGGCAACCACGCCAGTAAGAATGCCACATTCCGCTTGGATTGCATCTGCAAAATTTTGTGATTACGAAGTATCACACCCACCGGACTTCACATGAATGTCAATTGAGAAAACGTGTCAGGTTGACGATATCTTCAGTCAGCCCCTTTTTTCGTGAATGTCGATGAAGGAAAATGTGCAGGGCACCTGGCTGGTGACAAACTGTTTTCTATCGAGTTATGAAAAAAATAGCCGGAAACACCTTTTTCTCTTGCATCATTTTCTCGTACTTGCCCAATGGAATGCCGTCCTTCTTACACAATTCGTAGAACCTATCTTCCCGAAAGGTTCCTTGAAGTTGCTCCATGTAAATGTCCTGATCGGGTGCGACTGTTCGTTCTGCAACTTAATCCCACCTGACAAAATCACGACAGTCCTTAAGCAATCTCAACCGCATTGGGTCAGGCTTGACCGTGGGCATCGCGAATTGGCTTCAGCGAAGAAAAACGGGCCGCCGAGTGTGGGGATGGTGGTTGCCACGGCGGCTTTGAGCAAAGAGAGAAGGCAACAAAGTTAGAGAATGCCGGTGGTTTGAATCGGTTTGAACACAGGTTGTGTCCAATTGAAAAACGTGACTGCTTGGGTTGCTCCCACCTTCTCGATTTGAACGAAGTTCTTGTTGCCCTAGGCACGTCGATTTATCGAATTGATCTGTAGATCACAAACTTCTCTTGGATCTGGGGTTCTGACTCTTCCGGAGTGCCTTCAGCATCCATCCAATGTAGACCCCATGGGAACTCCCATGGGAGGCACAAGATCGAGTTCGAGATAGTCACCCCAAATGTCACCTAATGATGATTGAATATTTGAACATGATGCATTATCAATATTTGTTCATCAGAAACATAAAGAAAACTAACGTTAGGGTCGACTGAGGCCACCTGAGCACAAAGGGCCGAGTATCGGACAGACACAGCGTAATGTACATCAAAAACCTGGTTTCACATAGACAAGGACAACGTCGAAGTTTACCATAGACATTGAAGATTAGGGTATATATACTAAAGTATATATACATGTATGTACCAATACCTGCGCAGGTATTTACAAAAAATAATCCATATTCATCTATTGTCTAAGTACTTCAAGTTGGATCCACAAATGAGTTGTATAATATACTATATTATATATATATACATTGGATATATCCTATGACCTGTAACAATGGATGAT